AAATCATTTATTTTAAAATTTAAGTTTATATTTTTCATTAACATTATGGTTAATATTTTTTGAATTTTTTGCATTTTTTTTTTWAAAAAAATTGGCATTTTTTTTGAATTTTCTGACTTTTTTTTTTAAATTTTTTAGCCTTTTCTTTTGTAATTTTGTGCCTTTCTTAAAAAGGCGCGTGCCTCGCCTTGCGCCTTGTGCCTTGTGCCTTGTGCCTTGTGCCTCAGGCGCAAATTGGTCCTTGTGCTTYTTTTGCGCGTTGTGCTTTTAAAACACTGGGTGTCCCACAAGGTTTGATTTAGAGGTTTTCTGCATGTTTCAGCTGTGTACGTTCCTGATTCAATGATTGTAGATTTATGTAGTATTCAAAAGTGAGGCTGTTTCTGTTCTTCACTGTTATGTTGTTTGCTGCATTCAGGAAGTTGGTATTAAAATCTGCTACCTCCAATGGAAGGCCCTTGATTTGCTCATCAGATATGCCCATTGGTTTGAGCATATGTGTGGACACTACATTTGTTGAACTGCCTTGGTCTCTCTGCACTCTTCTTGCTTCATAATCCATTCAGTCGTGCCATTATGTATGGTTTGTTGTGATCTGCAGTTCCCACCAACATCTCTTTAGGCCCATAACTGATTTCCTTTCTATAATGTGTTCTGATTTTTGAGTCAGTGCACATTATCTCTGCCATCATCCGGTGGTTGTCTTCTATTTTTACCATTTGCTCAAAAGTTCGTCTAAGATGGAAGCAATCCATCAAGCTATGTGTTACTTTGGTGATATTCACAAAAATGCTTGCTGTTTCTATCTCTTATTGGGTCATTGCTGTGGGGTGGTGGTGGCAACACGGTCTTTCCGTCCTCTACTAATTTCTTCATTATCAGGAGCACTTCTGATCAGTTGAATGGAAGGGTGGAGGTAGCAACTCCATTGCACGAACTTGGCCTGCCCTTTTTGCTCCTGACATTAAGATATTTTCATCTCTTCTCTACTAGGTATGCTTTTCTGGCTTTCCTGCAGAAGGTGATGCTTGCCACCATGTCGGTTTGTCTTTGGTTTACGGATTGATTTGCTGCTTCTTTCTACACATTTCCAGAGTTTGGAGAATTCTTGAATGTCCATGTTCTCAAGGTGGACCCTATAGCATGGGTGCATCCCTTGGAAACACTCATCAATTAAAATCTTTTTCCATCATGTATTCATCTTATTACCAGTTCTGTGGCTTGTCTGAATCGTAAGATGTAGGCCACTAGATATTCTGTGTCACCTTGACAAACATTCCTGTGGTCCTCCATGCTCATCTTTCTCTCCATCATGAACCATTTTCCCAAGAATCTCTTCACCAGGTCCTCCCATGACTTAAATACTACCCGATGCATGATTAAAAAACCATGTATAAGCTCATCCTATGAGAGTCTTGTAAAATTCTCTAATCTTCGGATTACCATGCAAGGGAACAGACCTAAGGTATCCTCAAATTTGCTCACATGCTCTTGAGCACTGCCATTTTGCCTGTAATATAGTTGCCATTATTGAGGTGGTGTATAGCCTACCGGATATGGCTTTTGAGCGATGCTCAGTGGATAGGGCTTTTGATACAAGCTTGTCTTCATCCTGCTTGTGCCTCCTATGACATTTTGCAGATTCTCATATAGTTCCTCTTTTTTCACTGGTATCGGGTATCCTTCTCCTTGCATAGAAGATCCAAGATCTGCTGCTGCCACTGGACTTGGTAACACTGGCAGTGTTGGCTATCACAGTGCTAGAGCAGGTTGCTGAGGTGGTTGTGCCTCTGTCGCTGGTGGTGATGCATGACTGCTCGGTTCTGATGTCTGTCTGCTCAGAGGGGCCAGATCTTGTTGGATCTGGGTGAAGTTGTCGATCCAGCTTGCTGCGGCCATTGGATCTGGCATAAGAGACTCATAATCTCCCTATCTCACGATCTGGCTTGTTCTTGTGCTTCTTGCATTCTTGCTTCATACCGACACTGGTTTTCATCAAATCTGCTTCGGTTTCCTTCCATTAGGTCCAGTTTCTGCAACTTTTCTTTGTTACGTTCAACTCTATTTGCTAACTCATACACCTTATGGCCATGATTTCATAATCACCTTGATTGTCAGCACAGATGTATTCTGCTTCAATTTACAAAGCTGCTGCTTCTTCCAGGGCATTGACTAGAGTTGGATCATCTGCACATATAGTAGATTTCCTCAGCGCCATGGTTCTCACATCAAGATAAGACAACAAGAACCAAAAATTCTTAATGGGAGAACACCGGGGCAGATTGGCCGATACCTACCTGATTGTTGAGTGAGGTTGGCTGTGGAATATCCATCCTCAGATCTGAGATCTGATGTTTTTATCCTAAGATCTGAAGTTGATCAGGATTGAGAGTGGACTTCGGGTTCTCCACTCAAACCTGGAGAGCTGGAGTCTGTTGTTCTGTGATCTGCCCTTTTTATAGCTTTCTTGGAATTTTCTTGAAACTTCCACATTTTCTATTAGCCTTTTTTAGCTATGTTTCTTGTTCTGTTTTTATCAGATCATGCAGAAAGTGTGATTTGGGAATATTCTAGACTACTTAGGCTAATGCCACGTCAGCCTAGATTAATATGGGAGATTATTGTGAAGTCCCGCACTGGTTATGGCACTAAGAGATGTGTCATTCCCAACCAAAATGTGTACAAGTTGAAGATTCTGTTTCTGTTGGAAACTATTGAAAACTATTAAAAACTATTGAAAACTGCATTTGTGACCTTTTTTGCATGTCTGCCAGCTCTGGTCTGTGGTGATTTGCTTGTCCATGCTCTTACACAATGTATTTGTTATAATAATTAAAAGGGTATTTAGGTCTATTACAACCTTCCCTTTAGGGGGAGTGTTAACTTCTTCAACCTTAACACAACTATTCCAAATATTTTCTTTTGTTGGCGACTTGGTGCAAATTTTAGATAAAGTGCACATTTTGCAAGTAGTCAGATATACAATGAGAAAAGATAACTTTGGTAGTTGATCTGAGAACTGGTCAAAGTTTTATAAATCTCTGGGTGGAGAGATAGAGTACTAATGTACTACTATATCTTTACTACCAGAAAGGCATTGTAGAGATGGAGGCTTTCTTGGACATGTGGTAGAAAGCGTAAGATGATGTATCTGCTCTGATCAGGATTCTGCATAGTCACTATATGTTATGATACTAACATAATATACAGCATGCTACTAACATTTTGGTTCTCCATGGTTTTGAATTACTGGTCATTTTTGAAGTGAATAACAGTTGATGTCATAAACTTGAATGACTTCAATAAATAGCATTATAGCAATAATAATATAACATTTGAGGTGAGAAATTGTATTGTTATTATTACCGTTCTTTTGTCTACTACATCCTTATCCAATGCACAAGCATGATTTTAATTTCCAATTGCTCATGTTCAATTTTGCAGCTGTACAAGGAACTTGTATGCCCTCTCGACAACTTTGAGCTCTTAATCTTTTCCATGGCTGGCCCAGAAGGAAAGTCCTTGCCTTTATGTCCTTATTGTTACAATAGTCCTCCATTTGAAGGTATAGACACTCTCTTTGGAAGCCTTAAGATAAGCAATTCGGGAAACTCAACGAAAGGAGCTGGCATGCCATGTTTCCTCTGTCCACATCCCACATGCAGGCATTCTATGATATCCCAAGGGGTGTGTGCCTGCCCTGAGTGCAATGGTACTCTTGTTCTTGATCCAGTCAGTGCTCCCAAGTGGAGACTTTATTGCAACATATGCAACTGCCTTGTCTTCCTTCCTCAGGGTGCCCACAGGATTTCAACAACCCGAGAGCGGTGTCCTGACTGTGATTCTACAATCATAGAAGTTGACTTCAATAAGAAAACAACACCTCTGAAAGATGGGGCCACTTTGCAYACTGGCTGCATTTTGTGTGATGAATTGCTACATTCTCTTGTGGAGATGAAGCATGGGAAATCTTTCTTCAAACGAATGGGAGGGAGACCAAGGGGAAGAGGAAGAGGAAGAGGAAGAGGAGGCAGCAGGGGAAGGGGACGGAGTGGTGGAAAACGAGAGGACCCAAAAATGAGCTTCCGAGACTTCTGACATATGTTGAATTCAGTCTTCCTACATAGTTTGATTTATAAGCAGACAGCATTAGTTAATCATATAACATGGAAGAATTGTTGCTTCTGTTGTTATGGTTCCTAAAAGGAAGCTCTTTGGAGTGGAATATACATGAAATTTCTGAAGGTGTTGGATCTCATTCAATCTCAAAAAATCATGACCACAGACACTGGCTTGGCTTCATTTGGCGTGTCATTATAATTTGTACATTATTGTAGATTGATCTTGGCTATGTGGTGCACCTCACAATAGAACCTCGATTTTCTTCCAGGAGATAGAAAAGCGGTCAGGATATATTGTCGTTAAATCTGAAGCACTCTAGAATAGAATGTTGCTCTGTTTCTCTATGTAATACTGTACTTTTATTCCATTTAATATGGACACTATTGAGGCTAAGGTTAACCCTTCTAAAGCTCTTCATTACAGAACTGCAAACCCTTTCATCTTTAAGATGGTACGAAGACGCGTGTGCTTGCTGATTTAATTGAACTATTAAGGAGAAGTTCCCAGTAGCCGATCGGTTTTACTGTAAATATTTTGTATTTCCATAAAAATCTCATATGACAATCACAGGGCTGTCAATGGATCGGTTCTACCCTTCCATTGACTCGGGGTTCTTTATTTTGGGCAAAGTTGTAATTTCCTTTTGCTTTTATGGGGGCTCCAGCCCAACCCGGGGAGTTGAAGAAAGTTAGAAAGTTTGTTTCCCCTTTCTTATAATTAATTCTGTTTATCACTTTATTGTTAATGGAAAGTTACTGTTATTGATCCGAACCGATTATAGCTGTTCTAGTTCCAAGCCATGTTGGATCGGTTCTGGTTCCAGGTTTGCCGATTATTATCGATTCGGGACTGGTTTGGGTTGTTTCGAACCAGTTAATATAATACATGCTACATTCATATAATGGTTGTTTGTAATTCTAGATATAGTTATTTCTAACTACTAGATATGATAAGAGATGATCATTTGAATCGTCAGAACCCAGAGGTCTAGAAACCTAGGTTTTTCTTGCTTTTTGTCATTTGAATAGCCAGAGCCTAGAGGTATATAATGAAAAAGGGAAATTTGTGGGAAAATCCTAACTGCGTTTTCTGAAATTCCTCACCAAGTATCAGTTCCTAGATCTATACCTTAGCATTCAGGTTGTTTGAAATTTTTGTGAGATGACCATTTTGTTTTCTCCTTTATTCTATCTTCAAAACCCAAGTTGATGAAATCAGGACTCGTGCGATGTATAGGCTTTGTTTAGAGAAATTAAAAGTAGTAGTAGTAGTGTTTTGCCCTCTTTTAATTCTCTATTCCTCTCTTAAACAAATGAAAAAAAAAAATAAAATAGAAATAAGATGGGAAAAATTCAAAACTTGGGTTTGAAGAGAGAATAAAAAAAGGCAAAATAGTTTCAAAATAGTTTAGAACTGATGGACTCCGAGTTAGTTGGAATCTTAAGTAGCTGTCCGTCCCAAAAGAAAATTCAGGGGCCTAGTAGGTCTCACTACCTCCAGAATACTGGGCAACTGTCCCAACTTTACCCATTTTTTCTTGGTGGCATTATGGACCCTTGGTGTTCACCTGAGATCCATCCATCTGTAGGTAAACAGATAAGGCTCACCATGAACCATGACACATCGCCTTAAAGAACGGTATCTAAAAATGCGATCCCATTTAGGAAACCAAGATTCAATTTGTTTAGAACTTTAGATGGAACATGGATCCACCAATCTGAATTTGACAAATAAGATTTAATTTCAATCAGAATATCATTGGATTAAATTTAGACACAAGTTAATATCCTTATTTGCAGCCCTACTGACTTACATTTCTATACTTCAAATGTTCTAGGAAGAATGAAGCATGGATGCTTGTCTCGTCTGACCCAGAAAAAAAAAATTTAAGTAATTGTTAAAGAAGAAAGATATCGTTCAAATGTTGACTCAATCCTTACTCAAGAATGAGACTACCTGTAGGCAATCTAGGAGAAGATCTCCTCATCAAGCAGGTAAATCATGTCTTCTGATCTTATTTTCTAAGACTTCTCACCCCATGTTTTTGCTTTGCAGGAAATGATCATTTACTACAACAGTAGACGACCTGGGACTCTTGGAGCCAATATAAAACTAGCTGCAGTCTGCAGAGGAGAGGAGAAATTTTGGGCAAAATATCAAAAAAGAAGAAAACAAAAATATATATACTCTCCTGCTATCAGCTACCTTAACTTTGTTTGTTTACTCTGTGCAGCATGATTGCTTCTTCTGACTATCTTTTGTGTCCAGCTTCGTACCCTTGAGATCCGGGTTTAGCACCAAAGGCCGTTCCACATCGCCGCCGAATGATTTCCGGCTATTAGCATAGTAAATGTGCTCTAACACCGAAAGAAATGCCTTCTCTACATTGGTAGCATCCAGAGCTGATGTTTCCAAGAACATGAGGCCTTCTCTTTCTGCAATCTCCCTGCCGGACTCAGTTGGCACAGACCTCATTACTTCCAGATCACACTTGTTCCCAGCAAGCATAATTACTACGTTTGGCCCGGCGTAGTGCCGGAGGTCGTTGAGCCACCGGGGAACATGGTCAAAGGACGGCCTACTGGTTATGTCATAGACGAGTAGAGCCCCCAGAGCCCCACGGAAGTAAGCACCTGTCATGGATCGGAAGCGCTCCTGGCCTGCTGTGTCCCATATCTGAGCCTTCACCAGCTTCTTGTCAATGAGGATTGATTTTGTCTGGAACTCTACTCCAACTGTAGACCTGCAGTCTGCGCTGAACTCATTCTTGGAAAATCTTGACAACAGTTGAGTCTTCCCCACTGCTGAGTCCCCAATCACCACCAGCTTGAAAACATAGTCCATCTACCCACACCCCACATCCAACTAATAACCTTTCTGTTGCTGGTGTCTGTCGGTAATATGGATCACCATATCCAACTCTGAAGATGAAGAATGGAGCTAGCTCGTTCAGGAACCATAGGCAGATGGGATAGAATTTAAAATTTCAAGTGGGCTGGAATCCATCAATTTGTTTGTGGGTCTGAACTTCTCTCAAGGGTCAATTAAAATTATCAATGTGGGCCAGAAATTTTTCTGCTTCATCACCGTTTACAGAACTATATTGTCCTTTTTGTTCTTCCCAAAATTTAAATGAAAGTGATGAGGAAGGTCCAATAAAATAAGAGTGGCAGATGTTCGTTTGTTTGTTTGTTTGCTGGTGACAGCCAGCAAATGGTTTCATAAGGATGGACGGCTCTTGAAGCTCTAGTTCATCCTGTTAGTGCTGGGTTTTTCTGGGTCTGTGGCTCACCGAATTGATCACAGTCACAGCCTGTGAGAGGGTCTTGTTTGTCTATTTTTATTAAAGCAACCAACTTTACACAGTCTAAGCCATTACAGCCTGGAACTCTTTAATGAACCAGTGAACCACGGGATGCACGAATACCATTACATGATTTATTGCTCACTTGGCCATGATAAGAAAGAAAATTTTGATTTTGATGCTTCCTAACCAAATTTTGATCAAAATAATCTTAATCAAGTGACATCATTATAACTTATAACCTCAGATGAAACCAGTGTTTTAGAAAACAACCATTTTTGTCGGGTAAACTGTTCAATGGTTTGGGTCAAAAGGGTCAAGTCATGACATCATAAACATGTAATAAATAAATAAATTAGATAAAAGTGTATCAAAATTACAAAAGATTGCAATAATAAAAAGAAGTCATGTATGGGTTGAGTTTAAACCCATTTTAGCTCAGCCCAGACTTGAATCCAACGATGCATCAAATTTCAGCGTGGGCTGGGCCTGGGATGGATAATTCGTATTTGACCTTTGGCTTGATTTGGGCTCGGGCCTTATGCCCGATTCTATGGGTTGAGTTTGAACCAGGCTCAGCCAACCCACTTATACCCCTAGCAATGTTTAGAAAAACGACTTGGAATTGGATCTGTTCTGGCCACTGGTTTTTAGGTCAATCTTTTAATCACCTGGTTCGAATGGATAGCCCGTTCTGATAAAAAAATTTTAAAAATAATTAAAATAAAAAATGACCTAAATCATTGAATAGATCAACGGTTCAACCACCCGGGTCAATGGGTTAATTCAATGATTTTTGGCCTGGGGTCGGATTTATGATAAAAACGGAACCGRCCACCTGAATGATTCTCGGTCCGAACGGTCCGACCTTCTGGTCAATGGCGGTTTGAAAACATTGACCCCTAGTGATTGCCATGTGCATGTTTAAACATTTCTAAAACCCCAAATTACTCTTATATAACTTATGCAATGCACGAAATTAAAGTAAAAGTCCTATGACATTCAAATTGAAACAAATCTGTTTGAGTGCAGCCTAGAGAGTGATAAAACTTCCTATGAATAATCCATATTAATTTTTTACTATGAATTAATTTTAAATTTTATTAATACAAAGAAATAAATAATTTCAGTATTTTTAATTTTATAAAAATATTTTTATTAATTTTTTACTTTTTAATAATTAATCTTAATAATAATTAATTAATAGTAACACCAAAACATCTTTCATTTTGTGAGGAGGATGACTCCAAATGTTTGAGATGGGTGTGAGGACCATTTTGTGAGGAAATTAGGATTCGCTCAAAATCCAAACAGAGATCCAGCATCAGAACTCAAAAATATAAATTCAACTTATGTTCAAATTAAAGAAAAGGGAGAGCTCTGACTATGAATGTGTGAGACAAATAATTAAATTATAAACTTGAATAGAAGGAAATCGTGTTCAAGGGAGATTTAAGTAATATACCCTAAATTTTATTAATAAAAAATAACAGCTTAATTCTACTAAATTTATTGTGTTTTTAATTTTTGTTAATTTCTAATCACTTTCATTGAATTTATTAATTTTTGATAATTATATATTATTTTTGTGCAATTTTACTATTTTTATTATGTTTGATTACGCCATTTATTTACCAATTGAATATAAATTTAGTAACTTATTTAAAACAATCACTACTATTGGTTATTAATTATGATGTATTACTTTTGATTTTGTTTTGAGGTTATTAATTAGTAAAATAATTAATGTATATAATTTTATTAAAATTGCTATTAGTGTTATTATTCGTTATGATTTTAATTTATTTTTAAATTATTGTTCATTTATTATTGCTATTATTGATTTTATTGTTTTTAGTTTACTATTTAATAATTAAATTATGAAAATTTGATGGACACATTCAATGTGCGGTAAGCCGGTAATACATTACTGTACCCTACACGGGTTCCTTAAAGGGGTAACCATGGACCCAGCTAACACAAACCCATAAGAGCCAAAAATGGGTTGCATAAAACCCATTTACATTGTCTTCTTCGCCCGACTGCTAAAAATGTGGCCTTAAATCTCATATCTTGATCAATCACTTTGCGATTGTGGCTCTTGATTATTACTTGCTGCTCTCTCTCTCTCTCTCTAATTGGTTTTTCTCTTGCCTATGATTCGTTTGAATTTGAGGTTAGTTTACAGTATAGCCTTTTTTTTTTTTTTCTTTTCGTTCGGAGGTGCCTTTAGACTAAATGTCAACAAATTAACTATATAGTAGAAGTGTTTTTATTTCTCAAACAGTACGAAATTAACTTATTTTCTACAACAAACAAAAGAACTTAAGCAACGTACATGTGTTGAAGTTCTCTACAGATGAAGGCTCTAATAGATTGAACTTTGCTAACGGAAACGCCATTAGAAAATATGTTGAAGTCTACAACTGAAACACTAATAGAAGATAAACTAGATTGAACTTTGCAACTCAAATGCCATCTGAAAATAATTAAACAACATACATGTGTTGGGTTTCTTTGCAAATGAAGCGTTAAGTAGAAAGTGTCTTGTGGTTATCTGAAGTCTGAAGATAAAGTGTATTGAACATATTTGATGAGAAGTAATTTGGTCCTTCGAATTAAATTGCAATACGTGGCTTCCAAGTAATACCTCGGCGCTGAGTAAGTAGATCATCTCGGTAGGTCGGCTGGTAGTACCTCGCTAGTGCTGACCTAAAGTACACCGGCCACGTCGACCTAAAGGTACTATTGGTGACCTACAAGATGTATTCGCTGACTTGTCACATAGATCCATTGCCAGTTCGAGTTCTCCGGAATATTAATGAGTCGACCTTTAGGCCGACCTACCCGCATCATGCACATCAGAGTCAATCGGATGAACCTTAGCCCTTTGCGCAGATTACATAACTAACGTCATTACTCTCTCCCAACTTAATGGAAACGACTCTGTGAGAGCCTGAGACCCATTACATGAGGTCTCTCACCACTCACACTGATATAAAGGGCTCATTTCCGCTTCAAGAGGTATGCGCTATTAAGCTCTCACACTCTCTAATCTTTTAAACATCTCTAAAAACTCTTTACTAACTTAAGCATCAGAGTGCTCACATCGGGTAAAAGCRACCCGGGCACTCTAACTCTCTCTCTGTTATTGAACTATATAGCTCGGCTAGACTTAATTCAACCAATCTTAGCTTGGCTACCGATAGAGAAAACTTCCAATTCGAGATCCGAGTCACCTGCCACATGAGAGCCGTCAGATCGCACACCATTAAGCTTCCTCTCCAAATCATTCCACATGCACTCACTAGAGAGACTTTGAAATACGAAAATACTTTTCAATAGATGTTGGAACTTTCCCTATCTTGTTTAGCAGAATGGTGAGAGAAGTTTTGGAAGATCAAACTCTCTTGATTGCGATTGATCTAACTCCCATGCCTGATTTTTCCTCCTACAAATACGTAATCTAAACTTTCTATGAGAGTGTTCATTGTAATAGGTAATCTATGAATAAGAGTCTTGCTGACATGGTGGGTGGGTGGGTAAGGAAGGGGAGGAAAGAGAGAGCTGAGAAGGGTTGAAGGGAGAAAGGAGAAATGAGAGGAGGAATGGTAGAATGAGAGGGCTGCTGATGTGGCCCATGTCATTGATATATTTTATATAAATAGTTTGATGATTTAATGTTTTTAGATGAAAATACTGATGGGCTTGGTTGATATTTGTTGATTTCAATGCCATTTCCTCAGCCRCGGATAAAGATGTGAGAATTATTTTTAGGGTCCGTTTGGTTTGCAGGAATAGGGGTTTGGAATCGGAATTGGAATGGGTTATTCCAATTCTAACTGTTTGGTTGGGTGGAATCGGAATTCTATTCCCATTCCTGCTGGATGGTATTCCCCCATTTGAGGGAATGGCCATTCCCTGCCCCTCTTTTGGGAATGAAATTCTATTCCTGCTGATTTTAATTCCCATTCTTATTCCTGTTTGAACCAAACAGACTATAGGAATGGACCATTCTAATTCCGATTCCGATTTCAATTCCGGACCCTTACTAATTTTTGGGGATCCCAATTATCACTTTTTTCATGTCTCGGCAATTCAAAAAGAAAAATAAAAAATCGTAACATAATTGGTGTGATCAAGCAAACTGATGTCTCTTGGTGCTTTAACCAAAGAACTATAGAGGATACCTTCTTCAATTTTTACAAAAATCTCTTCACAGAAGAACCCATTGAAGATTTTGAAGGTACGAACCTCTTTTCTTCTATTATTATAGCTGAAGAAAATTATAATTTGTGTGCTATTCCTTCTTTTGATGAGAGGGTGCCCTTTTATCTCCCTACTTGTTTCTATTGGTGACTGAGAGACTCTTTCAAGGATGCTTTCAAATTTGCAAAGCCAGAAGGTTATTCACGGAGTGAAGGTCAACAGGGCAACTCCAGCTATTACTCACCTAATATATGTTAACGATCTCATCATTTCTGGGCAAGCTACTATATCTGAATTATATTGATGCTATTTATAAAGCCCTTCAACGGTATTGTAACTGGGTCAGTCAATCAACTTCTCCAAATCAGCCATTCACTTCAGTCCTAATATCCACAGCCGTTTCTTCCTTGGAAGATTCCAACAGTTGATGGGGTCAAGATAATGCAATAGACAGATAAATATGTCGTAATCCATTGTTTTAAGTAAGGGTGGCAAATGGGTGGATTGGGTAAGGTTGGGTAAGGGCTGAATACCAATCTATCCATATTGACCCATCAACCCACTATGATCCATCATCAATTTTTGTTATAGGGTCATAACCACTCTAACATTGACCCACCCATATTGATTCTTAATCACCC